TTTCCCGAGTGCCAGGAGATAGTGCCGATAGGCTCCAGACGATAGATGTAGGCGGTGCACGAGCGTCTTTTATCCTTGTTGTCGGCGTGGTCGGCGTCGACGTAGCTGATGAGTTCGGTCTTGGTAGTGGCGTTTTTGTGGTAGCTTAGGCCGATTGTCGGAGTCGAGATGAAGTAGTGGAGTGCACGATCGAGTTCCTCTATCTCTTTCAGGTCGCTTAAGGTACGTAGCGAGCTGGCTAGCGGCATATAAGAGATCAGGAAGACAGGTGACGGCGGCAAATAGCAGACAACCCAATTTCTTCTGATATTCCTAGATCCCAGCTGGTGCAAGTAGTGAGGCGGTCGACGCGGGTACTGGCGGCATGTATGCATACGGAGTAGCGAGAGGTAGCGGGGAGAGATCGAACCGCCGAGCGATGTTCTCGGTGTACTTCGAAGCCGATAAGTGGATGGTGTCAGGGCCGTCCGTGATGTTGAGGCCGAGGTGCTACATCACGGTTGGCGACATGGTGATGGTGAGCTGAAGCTCAAGCTCCCCTTCGAACCAGACGGCGATATAGGTGGTGGAGCCGACGTAGAGTAGGTCGCCTATGTAGACTGTTAGCAGGACGTAATCGCCCGCTGCGGGATAAGTGGTACATGCCCTGGTCGTGGGGCAGTTGGGCGATGCCCATGGCGGTGAGGATTGTGTGCAGGTACTGCTGCCACAGGCGCGGGGCTTGCTTGATCCCGTAAAGGGATTTTACGAGTTGGCACACCAGCGTTGGGTCATTGACGTATGCGTGGGGCTGCTCGACGAAGATGTCGGCATCGACAGGGGCATAGAGGAATGCGGTCGCGACATCGATTTGTCGCAGAGAAAGTCGGTGGGCAGTGGCGACAGCCAGGAGAATGCGGAGAGAAGTGTGGCGACTGACCGTAGTAAAGGTTTCTATGTAGTCACTGCCGTGTTGCTGGTCAAAGCCGCAAACCACCCAGCGTGCTTTGAATTGTTTCAATAGTTCCATCGGCCTTTGTCTTCACTCGGAAGACCCACTTTCCGGAGAGGATTATTTTCCCCTTTGTTTCCAAGTGTTTCTCTTATGCACTGCCGCTAATTCTCGATCTATTGCCTACCTCCATTTTTCCCAGTGTGGTCCTTACATGCCCTTGTGACATTCTTCGGCTCCTCGACTGGTGGCGGCGAGGATGTTGGATGCACGGCTGCTATGAGTCCGAGGATTTGCAGGCCAGTCTCGGTGTAGCAGGGAAATTTCGGATCCTCTGGATAGTCTCCCTCGTCTCCCGCTTCAGGATCAAGTATGAAACCTGGTCCCACTCTTGCTGAAACATTGGTGTCGACGCTGTGGGGTGTTACATAATTGGTGTCGGCGAAGTGATAGTATGCCTCAGCATTCGCGCTTTCGCGAAGATTTTCTTTGTCCATCTGCATGTCGATTGAGCAGTAAGGGAGTGGTCCTGCAGCTGCTAACGCATTCGTGACGTTCTGCTCCTCTAGGTCAGCTTCTTCGTCTGTCGAGGCAAACGCGCGTGCGCCAACGAAACCACCACACGGGTCTTGATTGGTTGCGGTGTTCTCTAGGTAATGGTTGAGGGTGAGGTTTTTGTAGAAAATCACATCACGTGATGAATTGCGAATAGGGCAGACGCATCCCAGTTAGCAGCTTCCTCATGGTGTTCTGGAGAGTTCTATTCATCGTCTCTACTATACCATTCTGTTGGTGAGCGTAGGGGAGGGTGACAAGTCTCTTGATTCCTTTCTTAGCAAGGTAGTCCTTGAAGCGTTGTGACTGGTATTCCATCGCCCCGTCTGACTGAAAGCATTTTAGATTCGTACCTCTCTTCCATTCTGCTGCAGCAAGCCATGCGACGAAGGCAAAGAAGGCGAGGTCGCATGACGGTATGTTAAGATGCCAGGTGTACCATGTGGCGACATTGACGAAGGTGATGACATAGTTTAGGTCGGCCTGGCGGACTTCTCGTGGGATATATAGTATATCACTGTAGGGAGCGTACTCTGGTGCGCTTGGATTGTGATGCGACGAGAACGGTTGACGAGGAAGATCTGCTTCGGGGCAGATAAACCAGGTGCGTCGAGGTCGTCAGATTTCACAGCCATCGAGGAGTAGGAGAGCGTCCTTGTCCAGGACGTTCGCACGAATCGTGTCGAATAGGCGTGAGTTTCCGGGATGTCCTAACCTTTGACGCCAAATCTCATCGCTTGCCTTGTGTCCCACAGATCGACGGTACAGGTCTGAGTTGGCGTAGAAGGGGAAAACGGTCGCGACGCTTCGATGCTGCTCGCAAGGATGCACCTTTAACTGCTCGGCGTCAGTCGGCGGCGGCTCAACTTTGGGTGGTGTGTCAGGCGGAGCTTGTTCGACGGGTGGCATCGACAAAGTCCCAACGATGGGACTTGCAGGAAGTGCTCGTGTCGGCGCTTGTTGCTCTGCTGCGTGCGATGGTGCTGGTTTGTGTTCCTCTGCTTCGCGCATCACCGCTAATGCTCGTGTGCTTTCTGCCTCAAGGATCGTGTTGGATTACCAAAAGCCAACGCAGTCAAAACCAGGGTCGATATCCGGCGGGTGCGTCCAAGACGTGAAGGAGATGACGCCATCGCTGGCAATGGTCCCGCGGTCTGGAACGAAGTCCAAGATGAAGACTCCGTGCTTCTGAAGGGCTCTGCCGATGAAGAGACCGCCCTTCCCGTGGTAGAGACGGAACTCCCTATCGAAGCTGTCACACTCCAGGTGAATCCCTTTCGACTTTAGTTGGCTGATGCTTAGTAGATTGTAGCCGAGATTGTCTACGACGAGTACTCGTGACATCTGTAGTATCACGTTTGTCTCGCTGGATTGTAACTATACGACCCCTTCCTTTCGTGTGACAAGCTCTGGTTATTGGCAACCGTAATAACGATTTCTCGGCTCAGAGTCTTCTCTCGCTGGACAAAATGCACCGAAGAACACATGTGTTGACCACAGCAACTATGAAGAAACCAAGTGTCAAGGCCAGACGGTTCTTCGCGAGTTATCGTAGCGTAAGTCGGGTTCGGTTGGAGCCGTGTCTGTGTCGGAGCAGGGGGTTGTTCGTCGAGATCAGCGTGAGGCGGGGAGTTGGGAATGCAGAAGTATGTTCGTGCCCTGCAACTAACGACGTTCCTTGCGTCTTGTTGGGAATGCAGAGCGGTTCATCAGAGCTGGTGGCCGCTGCTGAGTTGAAGTGACGGACTTGGTGACTGACGTGGCGCACGAGGCTGATACTGCGGGAATGTGGCTGCTGCTGCTGTTGCTGGCGCTGCTGTTGCCTTGGGCATTTGAAGTGCGAGTACCCTGTTGTGTAGCAGAGATGACAGAACGGAGGTGAGTGTCGTTTCTGGTTTTGATTGTTGTAGTTGCCCCGGTGTGTGTAGAATGCAAGTTGTTGACTAGGTTTATTTGCGTGGCGTTTTTCGTACAGGTCCATGTCTTGCTGCTCGGCGTGGAGCTCCGCGCACAAGTGCATCTCGGAGATCCTTCCGTGAGCGCGTAGAAGGGAGCGTGTCATATGCCACTAAGGACAGAGGCTAGCGAGGACGACCGTGACGAACAAATCTTCTGATAAGTGCCCTCCATTTTGTAAGAGTTTGTCGCGTAAGCCTTTGCATCAATTTGATGTACGCCATCGCATCTTCTCCTTGTTGCATCTGAATCGTTGTAAGTTGTGCCATCAGACGGCTTTGAGTAACATTGTCGGTTGCTTGGTAGACGCTCTTCAAGTGACAGTATGCGAGTTCAGCCGAGTTGCCGAAGTTGCGATACGTGCGAACGCCTTGTTGTTCCGTTGGTGTCATGTTGCGCAAGAGGATGGTGAAGGCCATCAGCGCCTGATAGGTGTATATCTTCTTTTCTTGAGTAGTCCCATTTGCAGGAAAAGGTTAGGAGCCGGTGAAGAAGCCGAGGATTTGCGCGCCGTCCATCAACAACTCAAACTCCAAGCTCCAGGTGAAGACGTCCTTGCCGTTGAATGGTGAGGATGTCTGTGATTTTTGGATGTTGTTGAACTGTTGTTGCATGATGACGATGTCCGATTGTTTATCGGCTGTCTCCGAATCCACTGTTCGCGCGGGAGTCGGCAGGAAGGTCAACGAGCCTGGCGAGGGCTAGTAAGGTTGATGCTGTGTAGGTTGTGTGCCTCTTGCATACGATGCGCCATCAAGGCTTATTGGAACTGCGCCACTATTGTTGTTGCTGTGTGTCAATTGAACAGGCGTTGAAGATTGCTCGTAATTCGACATGGAGAAGAATTTCTCTATGAGATTCGGGTCCATTCCCGAGGAGGAGGCCACTGGTTGTGTGGAGGCTCCTGCAGTTGCGACTGCCCCTGTCTGTAGCCCAAAGACTGGAGGTGCAGAGGGGGATCTAGTAGCCTTGAATTGACGTAGAGGATCCATCACCCTTAGATGGCGTCATGTCTTGTAGCCTTGAATTGACGAGAGTGAAATTGTCATACGTGATTCTATAAACGAGTTAGAAACTCACTGGGTGTTATGAATGGGACTGCCGAGTAGCGCGGAGGGCAATGGCGAAACTGTGAACGAGTGAATGACAATAAAATGAAAGACAACACAATATATAGAAAGCCTAGGGTGATCCTGGACGTAGGATCGGAAGGTTCGGGAAAAGTGTCGAAGGGCCTCGATGTGTCGAAGCGAGGTCCGGAAATGTCCAGGAGGCTCGAACTGAAAGGTCTGGAACCCTGTTCGAGTCGTACGCCCTGTAGCAAGCCTCAATAAGGAATTACTCATTCCTTACACTGAGGGAGCTTGTAACAAGGAGCTTGTAACAAGGAGCTTCTAACAGGGTTGCACAATCAACGGTCTGCGACCGTTGCCCTCACGTAACTTCTGAGAGGTGTCGGCAACCTGCGTCAACCGTCAGTGGTACTGTAGTAGGGTTTGACTCGGTGATCCTTGTTGTAGTCTTTGCGTATTCGTACACCCACACGAGACTCCGGAAATGTGTTTTAAGATCTTTAATCATTTCCAACATACATGAACGCTAACACGATATGCAGCAGTGCAAAACGGCAGGCTGAGGGGCCGAAATCAGGGAGCCTGATCCTGAAATCTGTTCAGAAGGAATGCGCTCCCACTCAAAGCCTCGCACTCAAAGCCTCACACTCAAAGCCTCACACTCAAATCCTTGCACTCAAAGCCTTGCACTCAAAGCCTCGCACTCAGCAACAACTGCTGCGAGCAGGCTAAGCTGCATTGCCCGTTGCCACCTGCCCCCCCTCAGCACCTCCTTCCCTCCTCCCAAACCCTCCTTCCCTCCTCCCAAACCCTCCCCTCCTCCCAAACCCTCCTTCCCTCCTCCCAAACCCTCCTTACCTCCTCCCAAACCCTCCCCTCCTCCCAAACCCTCCTTCCCTCCTCCCAAACCCTCCTTCCCTCCTCCCAAACCCTCCTTCCCTCCTCCCAAACCCTCCCTCCCTCCCTGCAGCACTCCCACTGCTTCACCCTCCCCATGCGCAGCCTCCCCTGCTCCTGCCCCTCTGTCTATGCCTTTCACTTCTCCGCCCCCCTCGCCCTTTCCCCCCCTGCCTCCCCTGCATCCCCTGCCTACCCTGTCTCCCCTGGCAACCACCCTACCATCCCACCACAGCTGCATACCACCACTTGCAATACGCCCTCTAACCGCCTGGGGCCCTTCGAGAGGAGCACTAGTCTGTAACCCAAAAGCACCCTCAAACTTGCTGAACTCCTGACACAGCCTGTCCAGCTGCAGCAGAGCACCTGCAGTGACGTTGGCACCTGACGGAACACCTGATGCATCTCTCGAGAGAACATCCGAAAAGGCTGCTGAGGGGGCACCTGATGAGGCTCCTGACCAGTTGCATCCACCAACCACCCGTTGCCACCACCAGGGTGCTCGCACACCCCTGTTACAGTCACTCAAACCTGCACACACCTCCATCTCCTTTATGAGGTGCCCCCGTACAGCACTAAGCAGCTCACCGTCTGGCACTGCCATCCTGTCCCCCCCACATTCCTGCCCCCCAAGAGTCACGCCTTGCACCAACAACTGCTTCTGCTGCCCATCTTGCCTAGCATGGCCTTCCCCAAAGCCACTCCCCTCTGGACTCGCGTTCCCCCCACCACCATCGCTCTCTAAGGCATCACCTTTGCCGTCGCCCCTATTGCAGCACCCGGCGTGTTTATCACCCCCACCGTTGCAGTCACCACCACCATCCCTACCATCAGAAATGCAGTCATCCTCGTTATAGACATCATCACTGTGATGATCATTCTCCATCATATCCTCCCGCCTCCTTTTCACTCCCCTCCCGTCTCCTGAACACCCTCTATCTGCCAGCTCTAGCAGTCTTTCCTCCTGGCGATTTCTTTCTCCATCACCCTTCCTCCTCTTCCCCTCCCCTCCCTTCTCCAACCCTTTTCTCTGATTCACCCCACCGGTCTCTTCCTCCTCCTCTCTCCCCTTGCTATTCTGTTCCCTGCCCCCGCTCTCCTGCTCTCTCGATTTAAAAGCAGCTTCGGGCATAGGCTCGGGCACAGGTTCCAGCTCAGGCACAGGCTCGAGCTCAGGCTCGGGCCGAGCCTGCAGGTCTGTAGCGATACGTCCGGTTTGCAGGAGCAGCAGTTCTGAGAGCGAACGTTTTCGTGGGGGGAGTGCTGAAGAGATGGGGTAAGAGGAGTGAGGGACACAAGGGAGGGAAGATGGCACTAGGGGAGGGACAGGAGGACCCTGATGGGGGGGGTTGGTGGCAGTGGGAAATGAGGGAGGGGGGTTGGTGGCAGTAGGTGCTTGTGCCATGTGTGCAATAGATTCTGTTGCAGCAGTGGCAACACTGGGTGCTGGTGCTGCCGCTGCAGCATTAGGCGCCGGTGCAGTGCCTGCAAGAGATTCTAATGCTGTTGCAGCGGCTGTGGCTACATTGGGTGCTGGGGCTGCTGCATACAGAGTCGTTTCTGAAGGTGGTGACGCAGCAGCACTAGCTGATAGGGTGGCTATAGGCGTCACTGCTGCTGTTGGTGTTGTTGCTGCTTCTGGTGCTGCTGGTGCTCCTGCTGCTGGTGCTGGTGCTGCTGCTGGTGCTGCTGCTGCTGCTGCAGGTGCTGCTGCTGCTGGTGCTCCTGGTGCTGGTGCTGCTGCTGGTGCTGCTGCTGGAGCTGCTGTTGCTGCTGCTGCTGGTGCTGCTGTTGCTGCTGCTGTTGCTGCTGTTGCTGCTGGTGCTGGTGCTGGTGCTGCTGTTGTTGCTGCTCTTGCTGCTGGTGCTGTTGCTGTTGCTGCTGCTGCTGGTGCTGCTGGTGCTGCTGCTGCAGCTGCTGCTGGTGCTGCTGGTGGTGCTGCTGCTGGTGCTGCTGGTGGTGCTGCTGCTGCTGGTGCTGCTGCTGCTGCTGGTGTTGCTGCTGCTGTTGCTGTTGCTGCTGCTGCTGCTGCTCGTGTTGCAGCTGATGGTATTTCCATAGTGACTGCATCTGCCCCCTCACTCACCTGCTGCACTCGGATGTGTCTTTTCATCCATCTCAGCCCTCCTCTCGTCCCCGGCCCATCACCCGCTTTTCCTCCTCCGCCTTCTGATGCCGCTTCTGCCACACCCGCTCCTGCTGCTGCTCCTCCTCCTCCTGCTGCTGCTCCTGCTGTTGCTGCTGCTGCTGCAGCCGCTGAAACATCTGGTGGTAAAGAACCACCAGCAGCAGCAGCCGCAGCAGCGGCAAACTCACAGGGAGCATGAACAGGGATAAACGTAGTGCACATGGCTTCTGAGACAAAGGAGCCCAAACAACCCATACCTGATTCCCCTCCGTCACTCACAGCACCAGTACACGCACACCCTTGTGCTGCCCTTTCCCCCTGCTGCGGCCCCTCCTGTGTCCGCTCTCTTTCCCCGCCCAACAAGCCACTTGCTAGCTTTACTGCTGCAATCGGCCCCTGCCCCTGCCCTTGCCTGTGCCCGTGCCCATGCCCGTGCCCGTGCCCGTGCCCGTGCCCCTGCCCCTGTCCCTGTCCCTCTCCCGGCTCTCTCCAAAAAGCGGATTTGGTGATGATAGCAGCGTACTGCCCCTTGTTCTTCCCGTCCAGCTGCCTCCGATAGCCGAAGAGAGCGGCAAAGAGCATGAGGGACTGCTTCTTCACGTTGAGGAGTTGAGGGGAGGTGAAGCCGTGGGATAAGACGATCTCCCGATAGGCCTGCATAAGGGGGAAGGGGTTGGGGGGATGAGGGGAGAACCGCTGCCTCGCAACGCATTTTGCCATCATGATCTCCCGATAGGCCTGCATAAGGGGGAAGGGTGGGGGGAGGGGAGGATGGGTTGGTGCTGAGTACCAAAGAGCGCGGCAAAGAGCATGAGGGACTGCTTCTTCACGTTGAGGAGTTGAGGGGAGGTGAAGCCGTGGGATAAGACGATCTCCCGATAGGCCTGCATAAGGGGGAAGGGGTTGGGGGGATGAGGGGAGAACCGCTGCCTCGCAACGCATTTTGCCATCATGATCTCCCGATAGGCCTGCATAAGGGGGAAGGGTGGGGGGAGGGGAGGATGGGTTGGTGCTGAGTACCAAAGAGCACGGCAAAGAGCATGAGGGATTGCTTCTTCATGTTCAGGAGTTGAAGGGAGGTGAAGCAGTGAGATAAGAGGAACGTACCAATAGGCACGTACAAAGGTGAGTGAGATGAGATGAGATGAGATGAGATGAGATGAGATGAGATGAGATGAGATGATGTGAGATGAGATGAGATGATATGAGATGAGATGAGATGATATGAGATGAGATGAGATGAGATGAGATGAGATGGCCCTAGCTCAATTCCCAGAGATGGGACAAGCCTGGCAGCTCACCTCACCTTCGCATCCGCCAGGAATCTGGTAATCCACCTGGTAACCCACCTGGTAACCCACCTGGTAACCCACCTGGTAACCCACCCTAAACACGCCTGTAGTGGCGGTAATCCTACCCGTTGCAGGTTCCTTAGGAGGCGGAACAAGCGATGCACCTTGGCTCTGCTCTGGGCGTTGATAGGTTTTCGGTCAAGCCTGTTAGGCAGTAGAAGAAGCGTTGATAGGCTCACCTTGAGTAGGGGCGAGCCTATTCTTTGCAGGTGCCTGAGGAAGCGGAAGAAGCGAGGCACCTTGGCTCTGCTCTGAGCGTCCGCCAGGCCCCACTCTGCCGGGTCCCTCGCAAACTCCAGAAAGAGACCCGCCACTGCTCCCGTCTCCTCGTCCTCCTCTGCTGGTAGTGACGACTCAAATGCCACTCGTGACTCCTTTGCTCCTGAAGATTCCCCCAGCGCATCTTGACAGGCCCCTAAAGCCAAAGCCACTGCCGCACCCGTCTCCTCGTCCTCTGCTTGTAGTGCTGGCTCGACTAGCCATGGCCCATCACCCATACACCCCCCCTCGTTCCCTCCACAATCCCTCCCTTCATCAGCACACGGGTCTTCCCTCTCCTCCCAGAGCTGGCCGAGCCTCTCTTCCTCTTCCTCCAGACTCCCATCGGCAAAAATGAGCTCTTGAAACGACACTGCCTTTGGTGCTGCTGGTGCTACTGGTACTGCCAGTGGTTCCGGTGCTGCCGGTGCTTCTGGTGCTGCTGGTGCTGCTGGTGCTGCTGCTGCTGCTGGTGGTGCTGGTGGTGGGGCTGCTGCTGATGCTGCCATAGGTGCAACCAGGTGCCTTGGGGGAGGCAGAATTTCTGCTCTTGCAGCTGTTGCTGCTGGTGTTGGTGGTGCTGCTGGCGGTGGTGCTGGGATAGGGATGGCTGCAAGAGCTGCTGCTGGTGCTGCTGCTGGCGCTGCTGCTGCTGCTTCCGGTGCTGCTGCTGCTGGGATAAGGAGGGATGCAGGTGCCATTGCAACCCCTGATAACCCCACTGCACCACTTGTTAGAGCCTCTGAAATCCCATCTAAAGCCTCTGCACCAATTGTTAAGGCCACTGCACCAATTGTTAAGGCCACTGCACCACTCGCAATGGTCTCTGATGCGACAGCCTCTAGCGCTAAAGCCTCTGCTGCTCTAGCCTCTGGCGCTCTTGTGCCTCTTGTAGACAAATCCCGTGTGGTATCAACTACCAGTGGTGGCTCAGTTTCATATGCTGGTTCGGCGATTGCTGCTGGTTCGGCGACAGCTGCTGGTTTGGTTTCATGTGCCGCTGCTGCTACTGTTCCTGCTGCTGCTGCTCCTGCTTCTGCTGCTGCTGCTTCTGCAGCTTCTGCTGCAGCTGAATCGCTTTGAAGCGGTGGTGGTAATGGCACTGGCGGCAGCTGTGGCGATGGTGCTGGTGCTGCCATTGCTGCTGCTGCTGCTGCTGCTGCTGCTGCTGCTGCTGCTGCTGCTGCTGCTGCTGCTGCTGCTGCTGCTGCTGCTGCTGCTGCTGCTGCAGGTGCGACTGACGCTGCAGGTGATGCTGCGTCCAATGGTGCTGATAGTGGTAGTGGTGGTGGTGCTACTGCTACTGCTACTGCTGCATCTGGTGTTTCGAGTGAAGCTGCTGATCGTGGCAGTAGTGGCTGCAGTAGTCCTGCTGCTGTTGCTGCAGGTGCTGGTGCTGTTGCTGCAGGTGCTGGTGCTGTTGCTGGTGCTGTTGCTGCAGGTGCTGGTGCAGGTGCTGGTGCTGTTGCTGCAGGTGCTGGTGCTGTTGCTGGTGCTGTTGCTGCAGGTGCTGGTGCTGCTGCTGGTGCTGGTGCTGGTGCTGGTGCTGGTGCTGGTGCTGGTGCAGGAGGCGTTTCATCTGAAGGTGCTGCTAGTAATAGTGGCGGTGCTGCTGCTTCAGCTATTGCTGCAGTTGCTCCCACAGTCAAGGGAGACACACACTTCGCTATAGGATCCATCTCCATAGCCTCCCTCTCTTGAGCCTCCCTCTCTTGAGCCTCCCTCTCTTGAGCCTCCCTCTCTTGAGCCTCCCTCTCTTGAGCATCCATCTCAACCGCTTCAGCCGAGCCTGCTGAGTGGATCAGATCACAAATCCCTTCCTGCGTCATCCCCTCAACTTCTTCCCCTCTCCGCCCCTCCTCCCCATTCTCCCCTTTCCCCTCCCCCTTCTCCCCTGTCTGCAAAGCCTTGGCCTGGAGAGTCGTCCTCCTCTGCCAGTGCACCAGGCCAGCTATTGGGAGACAGCGAGCAGAAGTAGCTCTCACGAGGGAACCATTCAGAGGCAGCTCTTCTAACCACGTGGCTCGTGGCTCCAGAGAATAACTCAAGGCTCGCCCTCCTCCTCCTCCTCCTCCTCCTCCCCCCTCTGCACTTCCCTCTCTTCCCTCACTCCTCCCATCCTCCCCTTCATCATCCCTCTCCTCTCCTCGCCCTTTCCATTCTCCCCACCCATCCACCCACTCCCACCTCCGGCCTTTGTCCCTGCTGCCCCCACCCTGCCCTGCTGCCTCTGCTGCCCCTGCCTCTGCTACAGCCGCCACCGCACTCCCTCCTGTTGCTCCTGGCTCTGCTACAGCCGGCACGGATCCTGCTGCTACAGATGGCATGAACTCTCCTGCTACAGACCACACCATTGGCACTATTTCTGCTACAGTAGGTAAGAATCTTGCTGCTGCTGCTGCTGCAGATATCCCCGCTGTTGCTGATCCGTCCTGTACTGCTGGTGCTACAGCTGCCGCTGCGGCTGCTGCTGCAGCTACTGATGCTACGGATGCTCCTGCTGCTCCATTCCCCACCGCCGCTACTGGTGCGACAGCTGGCGCTGCTGCTGCTACAGCTGGTGCAGCGGCGACAGCATCTGGAGCTGCTTCTGCTTCTGCTACATGTTTCAATCCTGATGCTACAGATGGTCTCGTTGCTGCAACGCATGCGTCATTTGTTACTCGTGCTAGTGCTACTTTTATCCCCGCACTCTCTACCACTCCCACTCCCTCTCCCTCATTCACCTGCTCTTGAGTCGACTCAAAAGCAGACCCATTTGCTACTGGTGCAAGTGCTACTGCTCCCCCTGCACTCTCCATCCCTCCCTCTCTCTCATTCACCTCCTCCCCTCCTTCCTCCCCTCCTTCCTCATCATCTTCCTCCTCCCCTTCCTCGTCCTCCTCCCCCTCTCCGCCCCCCAACCCATATCCTTCCCCCTTATCCTCCCCCCCACCAGCACCCTTCCTCCCCCCCCACCTCCCCTTCCCTCCCCCTCCCCACCCGCCCATCTCAGCCAATCGCGTCACGTGAATCTGCCAGGCTGGCATATCGGATATGATCTTGAGCAATCGGTGCTTCTTCCATGCGCGCATGTTGCCGGTGACTCCCAAGAGGTATGCAAACAGCTCCAGAGCCGTGCGCTTCTCCCGCCTCAGCTCGTCCAAGCCTATGCCGTGGGCGAAGAAGGCCTGCTGGTACGGCTGGAGAGGGGGACATGGGGGCGGGAGGGAGTGGGGAAGTGAAGGGGGGAAACGGGAGTGGGAGGGGAAAGAAGGGGGAGTGTGATGTTGAGCAGCCTGTGCTTCTTCCACGCGTGCATCTTCCTGCTGACTCCCAGCAGATAAAAAAGCAGCTCCAGGGAGTGGGGAAAAGAAGGGGGGAATCTGCTCTTGAGCAGCCCGTGCTTCTTCCACGCGCGCATGTTCCATGTGACTCCCAAGAGGTAAGCAAACAGCTCCAGAGCCGTGCGCTTCTCCCTTGTGAGCTCGTCCACGCCTATGCTGTGAGCAAAGAACGCCTGCTGGTACGGCTGGGATGGGGATAGACAGAGGGAAGCACGAGGGATGGGGCTTATAACGTGTGCCCCTTCTCCCGCCTCAGCTCGTCCAAGCCTATGCCAAGAGCAAAGAACGCCTGCTGGTACGGCTGGAGAGGGGGGATGGGAGTGGGGAAGGGACGGGGGGGGATGACTCAACTCAACTCGTCCATTCCGGAGCATGCCTATGCTGTGGGCGAAGAACGCCTGCTGGTACGGCTGGAAGAGGGGAAGAAGGCCTGCTGGTACGGCTGCTTTCTAGTCGACTCAAAAGCGTAGCATGCCTATGCCGTGGGCGAAGAAGGCCTGCTGGTACGGCTGCTTTTAAGTCGACTAAAACATGTAGCATCCCTATGCTGTGGGCGAAGAACCCCTGCTGGTACGGCTGCAAGAGGGCTGCCTATACAAAAAGCAGCAGGCAGCGGCTTCATTCCCTGCATATGCCATCTCCCTTCGAACATCCCCAACTCGTTACAACCACGCCCCCTTTCAACGCACAAAGCACTGTAGACACCACACGATACAACACAAAGAGAGAGCGGGTATAGGGGCCTCACCTCTAGCATCTTCGGATCTTTTTCCGCCATCTCCCTTATAAACTTCCCCAGTCTCGTTACAACCACGCCCCCTTTCAGCGCACACGCCCAGTTCTTTGGGTCCTCCAGAAACTGCCGAAGCACGCCGCCCAGCTCCTCCTCCCCCACCTGCCGCACGCGGACGAGGAACGCCGACCGGTCCTGGCGGGAGGCCGGCAGCAGACGGGCGCATTTGATTGGCCGAATCCTCCCTGGTGCGGACCTTTTTCTAGAAGTAGCCCCATTTACGGCAGGGACAGTAGCATTATAAACAATAGCTGTAGTACCATTATTAGCAAGTGCATTAGTAGAAGGTGTGACATTAGCAGGGGCATTAGCTGCAGTGGCATAGGCAGGAGCAGTGGTGGCATGAGAAGTGGCAGGGATGGCAGTGGTGGGAGGAACAGGGAGAGGAAGATAAGGGGCAGCAGCGGCAGCGGCAGGGATACATGCATGTGTGCTTCCCCTGTCTGCTACAACCCCGGATTCTTGCCCTGCTACTCCTGCTGCTGCTCCTATTGCTCCTGCTGCTCCTGCTACTCCTGCTCCTGCTGCTCCTCCTGGCTCTGCTGCCCCTGCTGCCCCAGCTCCCCCCCTTGACCTTGCCCCGGCCTCCACTCCCTCACCTGCATTCCCTCCCTCTCCGCTCCCACCCCCAGCAGCCCGGCTCCCCTCGTCCATTTCCAAGGCCCCATCCGTTTGAAACCTTTCCACTCCGACTCCGAGTGGCCTGACACTCTCAAGCCCTTCCCCTGCACCACTAGGGTCCTCCCTGCCATTAGGCATATTATTCTGACCCGCCTCGCGCCGCGTGTCATACTCCTTCCATGCATCAGTGGAAGCAATGGCCTGCACGAGGTCCTTCTTCTTGAGCTCGTCCAGGCGGCCAGAGAACCCCAGCAGCAGCGCCAGCAGCATCAGCACCCACTTCTTGCATGCCCGGAGGTCGTAGAGCGTCAGGAAGTGAGCGAAGAAGAGCCCCTGGTAGTGCTGGTGGGGGGAATGAGGGGTGGGTGCGGAGAGGGGTGAAGGAGGGGAAGGAACGGATCAGTAGACGCGACGGCCGGCCTGCACCAGGTCCTTCTTCTTCAGTTCATCAAAACGGCCAGCCAGAGAACCCCAGCAGCAGCGCCAGCAGCATGAGCCCCCACTTCTTGCACGCCCTCAGGTCGGAAAGTGTGAGGAAATGCTGGTAATGCGCGAAGAAGAGCAATAAGAGGCCCTGGTAATGCTGTGTGGGTGGGTGGAGGCAACGGGAGCGGACGGAGGGGAAGGAGGGGAGTGTGAGAGCATGTGCGTGCAAGGCAGCAGCGCCAGCAACATGCGCCCAGAGGTCATAGAGAGTCAGGGAATGAGCCACGAAGAGGTCTGCCGCCCTGGGAATGCCCTGGACGGCAAGTAGGGGTAAAGGGGGAAGAAAGGGTTGACAGGTGAGAGCAGGACGTTCAAGGCAGCAGCGCCAGCAACATGAGCACCCCCTTCTTGCACGCCCGAAGATCACGCAGAGAGTGACAGAGAGGGCGGGCAAAGAAGGAGCAGAAAGAAACCCTAGGGCTTCCCAGGCACCCTTCAACAGCGACCCGAAACTCTAAAACCCTGAAACCCTAGATTTCACTATACTCTCTCACACCTGCAGCAGCAGCTCCAGTTGTATTTTGAGTCGACTCAAAATACAACTGAAACTCAAAAACCCTGAAACCCTAGATTTCACTATACTCTCTCACTCACCTGCAGCAGCAGCGGCTCGCACACATGCGCCTTGCGCAGAAACGCAAATATAGCGTTGAACTGAAACTCCCCCCTGTGATCCACCAGGTTCCACTCCCTAGGACTCCCCAGAAACCGCTCCAACATCCCCCCATACCGTCGAACCTCCTCCTCGCCCACCCGAACCTGCGCCGCAGCCGCGGCAGCTAGCTCCGGCGGCAGGCCCGGGACAGGCCCGGTGATCGCCGCGGCAGCCAGGCGTTTCTCCATGGCGTGGGGGCGGTTCCAAGGCTCAGAAGTGGCTATGATAGTGAGAAGCTTGGGCTTGTTCTTGGCGCCTGTGCGCACCGGGCTGACTAGAGTGGCGAAGAGCTGCACCACTGAGAGCATCTCCAGTTTGATGTCCTCTAGAGTGAGCCCGTGGGCCAGAAACATGTCTTGTAGATGCTGGTGGGAGGGAGGGAGGGAGATATAGGTGCAGAGCGGTGGAGAGGGATATGAGAGAAGAGGGGCTGACTAGAGTGGCGAAGAGCTGCACCACTGACAGTATCTCCAGCTTGATGATGTCTTGGAGAGTGAGCCCCGAGAAACGTGTCTTGTAGGTGCTGGTGGGAGGGAGGGAGAGGGGTGGAGACGGGTGGAGACGGGTGGAGACGGGTGGACCGCGGAGACGGGTGGAGCTTGGGCTTGTTCTTGGCGCCTGTGCGCACGGGGCTGTCGAGAGTGGCAAAGAGCTGCACCACTGAGAGCATCTCCAGCTTGATGTCTTCAAGGGTGAGCCCGTGGCCGAGAAACATGTCCTGTAGATGCTGGTGGGAGGGAGGGTGAGAGGGGTGGAGAGGGGTGGAGAAGGGTGGAGCTTGGGCTTGTTCTTGGCGCCCGTGTGCACGGGGCTGAACCACTGGCAGCATCTCCAGCTTGATGTCCTCTAGAGTGAGCCCGTGTGATAGGAAGGAACATGTCCTGCTGGTGCTGGTGGGAGAGGGGTGGAGAGGGGTGGAGAGGGTTGAGTATGGAGCGGAATGGTTGCAAGGGGCTCAGTAGCATAGAGGGGTGTGTGTGTGTGCATAACGGGTCAGGTGGATAAAGTAAACAATCCTTGGGACATCTCGTAAACAATCCTCCCTCCTCAATTCCAGCTTTGAGTTGCCTTCTCGCCGAAGTCCTCTCAGGTAGACTCTCCAGACCGGGGGTCCTCAAGTGAGAGTCGTTACCCCTCATCTCCTCCGTACCTCTAGTTTCAGGTTGCCTTCTCGCCGCAGACCCCTCAGGTAGATTGTCAGGTGGATTCTCAGGTGATTACTACTAGATACCCCTCATCTCCTTACCTCTAGTTTTGGGTCGCCTTCTCGCCGCAGACCCCTCAGGTAGATTCTCAGGTGGGCAATGGACGCGCCTCCCTTCTCCACCTGGCCCCACCTGGCTCTGTTGCTCAGGAAATCCCTCATGTCAATTTCCAGCTCCTCAGGTGTCATCTTCTGACCCGGAACAGTTGCAATTGCAGATGAAACCGTTCCAGCTGCACTTGAAACTGTCCCGTGAGCAGTTGAAACGGGCCATGCTGCAGTTGAAACCGCCCCGCTTGGACTAGAAACTGTCCCAGATAGTGTACCTGCAGCAAGCGTTACTTGGGGTGCTGCTGCATTAGCTACTGCAGCTGCAGCGAACCTTCCTTGTGCAGATATGCATATCCCTCCTACTTGGGGGGCCGGCCCTGCTCTAGCAACCATAGCTGCAGCAGATTTACCCAGTGCAGATATGCCTCCTGCTGCTGCTGCTGCTCCTCCTCCTCCTCCTCCTTCCTGTCGTGCTGATACTACCCCAGCTGTTGCCATCGAGCCTGCTGCTGCTTTTACTTTTGTAACTGCTTTTGCTCTTGCTGCTGCAGTTGCTTTTGGTGCTACTGCTCCTCTTGCCTTCGGTGCTGTCAGGCTCGGTACCGCTGTGGTTAGGCTCGGCACCGCTGTGGTTAGGCTCGGCACCGCTGTGGTTAGGCTCGGCACTTCTACTACAGCTTTGTCAAGTGGAAAAGTCACGACCATTGGGGCTGTGCTTAGCGGCGCTACTGCTGGTGCTGCTGCTGCCGTTGCTGCCGCTGGTGCCAGTACTGGTCCTACCATTGCTGCCATTGCTGCCGGTGGTGCCGGTGGTGCCGCTAGTGGCAATAGTGTTGCTGCCGTGGAGGTTTCTTCAAGTGTAGAAGTCATAACCATCGGGGCTGTGCTTAATGGCGCTACTACTAGTACTGCTGCTGCTGTTGCTGCCACTGGTGCTGCTGGTGCTGGTAGTGGTGATCGTGCTGCTGGTGCTGCTGCGGCTGCTGCCATTACCGTTGCTGCCACTGGTGCTGGTACTGGTGCTACCGTTGCTACCGTCGCTGCCGTTGCTGCCGCTGGTGCTGGTACTGGTGCTACCGTTGCTACCGTCGCTGCCGTTGCTGCCGCTGGTGCTGGTACTGGTGCTACCGTTGCTACCGTCGCTGCCGTTGCTGCCGCTGGTGCTGGTAGTGGTGCTACCGTTGCTACCGTCACTGCCGTTGCTGCCGCTGGTGCTGGTAGTGGTGCTAGTGCTGATGTTGTGTGAAGCGTCAAAGACACGCCAGTAGGGGCACTGCTTAGTGGCACTACTACAGGTGCTGCTGTTGCCGTTGCTGCCATTGCTGCCGCTGGTGTCGCGGGTGCTGGTATTGACGATAGTGTTGCTGCTGCTGCTGCTGCTGCCGCTGCTGGTAGCGGTACTGCTTCTGGTGCCTCTGCTGGTGGTGACAGTGGTGTTGGTGGTGGTGGTGCTGCTGCTGCTGCTGCTGCTGGTGATGTTGGTGGTGGTGGTGCCGCTGCTGCTGGTGATGCTGCTGCTGGTGATGCGGCTGCTGCTGCTTCTGCTGCTGGTGCTGATGCTGCTACTGGTGGTGGTGCGGGTGCTGCTGCTGCTGCTACCGCTAGTGGCGTTGCTGCTGGCAGCGCCACTGGAACCATCACTCCCATAACACGCTCCGTCCCAACCATTGCTGCTGTTACTCCCACTGCAACTTCTGCTCTTGAGGTTGCTTCTGTTGCTCCAGCAGCAGCAGTAGGAGCGGCTGCCCCCCTGTCTAATGCCAATCGTCCCTCTACCCCAACCACAGCTGCTGTTCTTAGCCCTTCACGTCTGGGGGCTGCCGAGACTGCCATTGCTTCTTCTGCCACTGCAGGTGCTACCCCCTCCGCTCCTTCTTCTCCCCCTCTCTCGCTGCCATCACCTGTGCCTGACTCCGGTCGAGCCGACTCAGGAGTCCTCTCAACCGCACAAGCCAGCCCCGCTCCTGTGCTTTGAGACGCCGCAACCGCCGATTGCTCCATATCTCGTGCCGCCACAACTGCGGATTTCTCTCTTCCAGCCACAGCCATGGCATGCTCCACTGTGCCGGCAACTACTGCCTGGGAATCGAATATCCGTGTTCTGTCTGCTCGCGGAAGAGGGACTGCTCGTTTGTCTGCTCGTGAGTGGGTAGCCGCCACTCTTTCCGCCTGTAAATCAGAAGCCGCTCGCCTGCCATAGCTCGTACCTGACTGCTCTACCAATGGCCCATCCTGCACCTTCTCTCTGTGTACTGGCACGTCGTTCACAGGCACGTCTGCTATTGGCGCGTCCGCTAAAGGCTCGTTTATTATTGGCGCATCCTCTAGAGGAGCATGTATTACTGGCACATCTGGCTCTGCCAATGCTGCTTCTGGAGCAGCTGAGACTATGGCTGGTGGCGATACTGCCTCAGCAGCTGCTTCTGCCGCTGCTGCCGCCACCGCCGCTTCTGCTGCTGCTACAGCTGCTGCTGCTGACGATACCACCTCTACGGCTGCTGATGCTACAGCTGGTCCCGCTTCTGCTTCCACATCTGCGGCTAAAACCGTGAATACGGCCGCTCTCCTCCCTGCCTCTCCTTGCTGCTGCACTGCTATATTCTGCTGTCCCTGCACAGCTGCAAAGTCTTGCCCAACCAGCGCTCCCTCTCCTGCAAATTCAGGAGAACCTCCCTCAGGTGTTACCCGTTCTTCTGCTGCTTCAGGTGCTACCTGTGTTCCTGCTATTCCTTTCCTCAAGCCACTTTCCTCTACTGCCGGAGCCTCCCTCGCATTAGCCTCGCCGTCTGGTAACCCTGTAACATACCGTGGCACAGATACATCCTCGTGCAAGGCGTCGCACTGAACGCCTGCCACGTGGACATCTGGTGCGTGAGCGTTCGCCACGTCAGCGGCCAGCTGTTCCACGAATATCTCCGCGTCATCCAGCTCAGCATCTCCCATTACAATCTCCAGGTCAATCTCCGGCCCCTCTTCCCCCTCCATTCCTCCTCCCCCCTCCTTTCCCCCTTCGTCTTCCATTCCCCTTTCCCCCACCACTCCCCCTTCCCTTTCCGCATCCCCTTCCCCCTGAATCCCCTCGTCCCCCTCCCCCTCGACCTCTATTCTAAGCTCAATATCCTCCCCTTGCCCGCCCGCCTGCTCCTTCCCCCCCTCCGCCCCCCCCTCCCCCTCCCCCTCCCCATCCGCACCCCCATCCCCCTGCGCTAGTGCATGCTCCGCTACAAGCTGCGAGACGTGCTCCGTTATAGGCTCTGTATCGTACAAGTCCTGCTCACTCCTTTGCACATGCGCATGGGCGTATCTATACCCGTGCCCCGGCACTTGCACTTGTTTTTGAGATGCCTCAAAGATATACCTGTGCCCCTGCACCTGAGCTGGCGCTCCGCCCTCTACCGAATTAGTTTGACTCTCTACTTGCATTTCTAACTGCTTGAATTCGTCCGCGTCCTGCACGTTCTGTCTTATAACGAGTCCCTGATCCGGGGCTTGATGCTCATCCTCGATATAGTCATACCCCACTGCATCAACCACCACTTCAGCTTCTGTCTCCGCTGCCAGCACATCACGCTCCCTCTCTTGCCTCAACGCCACGTCAGCATCGGGCCCACACTCCTGGCCCGATTCCAGCATCAAGTGCTCTGGTAATGGGGGCGCCATTTGCGGCGCCATCTGCGGCGGTAAACGCGCCGGCCATGGATCTAACCCCATCATACCCCCCACGCCGGGATGGTGATGGTGATGGTGGTGATGGTGCTGATGGTGGTGGTGGTGATAATGATGACTCATGCCTATCTCCCCGTATGAACCAGATGCCTGCTCCATGGACCCATGATGATGCTCCAAAGATTCTGGATGCTCCATCGTGCCATGGTGATGAATCCCCATGACCGGATCCAACGGTCCAGGATGCATCACATGAGCCGGGGGCGGCGCCGGCGGACCGTGATGGTGGTAACCCGCATTGTAACTTGTAACCAGAGATCGCGAGGGGTGGTATGGGAGAGGCATGGGTCCCGGGGAACCAGCATTCGGATGTGCATGGAACGGGATGTGCATATAAGGAGGGTGCGTGTATAGAAAGTGCGGATGATGCACCCCCGCTATTGGCCCCGAATGCGGGTCACTGGCGCCATGCGAACCGTACTCGGACCTAACACCGTACTCAGACCTGAAACCGTACGGCTGTAGTTGAGACGCCTCGAAAGGCGATACCGCGTTTTGCGGGATTTCGTATCTCGACGCCTCCGTAATCTGCGCTTCCGCTCGCCCTGCCACGTCAGCATCGCGACGTCGAGCCGCTTCTTCCTCCTCCCCCTCCTCCTCCTCATCATCCTCATCCACATTCACGACTAGCGAGTGATTCACGCCGTGATGTGCGGCGGAATGAGCGGCGGGATGCACGCCGTAATTCACGGCGTACCGATCGGCCTCAACCAACGGGACTGGATGGTGATACGGAAGATGATGATGCGGAGGAGGAGGATACATCGGAACCGAGCCAGGGAATCCTGACCGTCCATCCGCGTCGTCGAATCCGGCGGTGCCACCTGGTATATCGTACGGCGATGGGAGCTCTGAAGGGTCCATGGCGACGGGTCTCTGTTACAACGGACCTGAAACGACAGGCATTGTCCACGTCAGCGACAGAACCAATGGGCACTTCCCGGAATGGCACTCTAAATATCGGGAAAACTTGCACAACGGGAGTTGATACCGCATTAGGTTTCTGGTTAGGGTTAGCACAAATTGATTCCATGGCGAATGGAATTCTGCGGCTATGAGTCTGAAATTCAAGCTATTTGCTATCGCTATCCCTGGAGAATGGAAACGAATCTATTGCGCCTAGAATATTACCTGCTGTTTGACTTCAACCTGACGCTTCCTCAGGCTAGTCCCCGTGTCGCCTGAGGATCTGGGGGGAGCTCGATCAAGTCGGGAGGAAACCGACAGTGGCCAGGTGGGGTGGTGAGAAATGTAAGGCCAGACGCGAAACCCCGAAATGCTCCTACCTATGACAGCTTGAAAGCAGCAAATGGGGTGACTAGGAAGGTAGGTCTATCCTACGGCAATCCCAAACAGGGACCCCCCTGATTTTGCCGATTTTAGGGTTTGATGGAGGAGGCGAGAGGGGAGGAAGAGCGAAACCCCGAATGCGGAAACCCCAAATGCGGCTGCGGGGTAATGAAAACCCCAGGCTGAGTGAAACCCCATGTTCAGGGGAGGTGCGAGGCAAACCACCGAACTGGGATGATAATGGTTGTATGCAATTGCTGCTACACCACCTTCAAAATCCGGCTATATGAGGTTCACAAGGTACAATAATCACACTAATGTCTATACACCGTGATCTTCATAAAATTAATAAATACAATCATACACCAGCACATAGGCTGAACCATGAATGCCTGTTTGAACTGGAAGGCGAAATTATACTGCATGAAGGTGTGAGACCTGGCTGGATGACTTTCTAATGTTTACTCTCAACTCTCATCATAACCATACCAAACCACAGAGAACCCAGCCCAACCCCCTTGGAGAGGCAGACTCTGGCTGGGTGAAAATGAAGCCAGCTCTTGCCTTTGGGCGAACACGGCTTGCATTTCGCCTCGCTCTTCGCCAGTCCCTTCCGTCTCGCCACGCCAGCCTTGAAGACCTGCCAAGCCAATCACTCACGAACCTTCTGCCAACTGTGTTACACACACAGAACCATATGCAAGGGCCTGACAACTGTTTCGACACATCAGAAATCTATGGCTGTAAGAATGAAATCCTAGCGTACCTTGCGGGCAAGTGTGGGTCCAGCGCGTCACCTTGTGGCAAGTTATGGCATCACATGCCAGAATAAAGTGCGACACGAGTAACGCGCCTCGATCCATGATTCTTGAAACCTTTGTCTCCATTCCGAGAGTGTGCGTTCAAATGCGGTTGAAAGAGGTGAATTGCGTTTTGGAAGGATCAAAGAACTCCGTCCAACGGTTCGGTAGGATATGGGCAAAAAATGGACGCTAGGTCACACGCCCTCCTTACTCGTGGGACTCTCCGCTCCCATCGTCCGATCGTTCACCTCTGTACCTCTCAGAAAATGTTTTGAAACAAAACAAATCACACTGTACCGGTTTTTATCTGACCTCCGGTCCTGTCCCATCGTTTCGACGTCTACTCGTCACAGGCTGTGGGCACTGACCACTGAGCACAGCATGAGAAATAGTCGGCCTGCGCAACTCGTTTTTCTTCGTCATCCAGCATAAATCTCCTGCCATCCACTCTCGAACAGCTTTCACCTTTCTCAGTACCAACTTGTCACCCTCATCCTCATTCAAGCCACGTTACGCTTCAAGCGAAGTCGTCATTGCCCTCATCAGGCTCTTCCCATCAGCTCCGCTGTAATTCAATCGTTCAACGTTTGAGTAGCGTTTCCTACACGTCAAGAATCGTTCACTCAACTCAACTCAATCAAGCATCTCGCGTCCCGACGTCCTATCTGAGCCGATGCTTCTTTCCAGCTCGATAATGCAGCGCGCATTTCGAGGAGAGTTCTCCCAAGTTTTATCCGCCGGGGTTCTGCTGCTTCTGGTGTGCATAATCCCGGACCTTGGGTCTCTGCACGTGGCGAGGGCGACGGACTCTAGATTATCTTTCGCCAGCAAGACGACGGTTCGCGAAGGCGCGCTGAGGTCGAAACGGAGTAACCACTTCATCTTTCTTCGCCGGCGCCTTGCGGCTGATCACGTCGTGCCAGACGACGTTACGATTGGGACAGTTTCGCCAGATGATGTTACCGTTACAATGAAGAGGGGCGACAAAGCAGAGGCTGAAGGCCGCGCTACAGGCAACACACTGCCCTCGTACTCTACGGACGGTGCGACGTCGTCTAGCGATGACCGCGATAGTCGCGAACGGGCGGGCGACTCAAACGAAGTCAGCGTGCGACGGAGTCTGACTTTCGCAAGCCTGCGAACTCAGCAGCTGGGGCGACTAGTGGTCGAGAGAAGCGGGAAAACGATTTTCTTGAAGCGGGCCAATAGCGGGGTGAAATCGGACGGCTCGGAACGGAAAACGTCAAAATCTGACGGGAAAGCAGTGACGGGAGGAAGCTTCATTGGCAGAGTCGTGCACGAACTCCTTGCGGGGTCGTCGTTGAAACGCGGCGACGAAACGAAGAGAAACCAACAGGAAAATAGGCCTGGGAGTGCCCCTAACAGTGCTAGTACTACTACAAGTAGCACTCCTAACCAACCAAAGGCGGCATCAGATAACGTGCATGCGGCGCAAACGCGGGCGGCATGGGAGGACGACGACGACTACGAGCCGGCTGCTATAGTGGGGCGAAAGCAGGAGTGATAGGACTCTTGAGACGACTCAAAGATCATATGCTACAGGGCGGAAGCAGGAGAGATAGAAGGAGAGATAGGAGGAAGAAGGGCGCGGGGAATCTTTTGAGTGGACTCAAGGTGTGCGGAAACATGGGCTGCATGGGAAGGCGACGACGACGACGACGACTACGAGCCGGCTGTTACAGGAGGGCGGAAGAAGGAGAGGTAGGAGGAAGAGGTAGGAGGACGGCGCAGGGAAGCTTTTGAGTGGACTCAAGTGCGTGGGAACCCGGGCCGCATGGGAAGGCGACGACGACGACGACGACGACGACGACTACGAGCCAGCTGTTACAGGAGGGCGGAAGCAGGAGAGGTAGGAGGAACGACGACGCCAGGAAGGATGGAGGAGGGAACAGAGAGAGGTGTCGAAGTGGGACGTGTGGTATCGAGAGGTTTCGTCACCAGCCGGAAGCAGCACAAGAGAACGTGCGTGCGGCGGACGGCCGCATGGGAAGACGATGTTGAATACGAGCCGGCTGTTACAGTAGGGCGGAAGCATGAGAATATGGAGAGGGATAAGCATGAGAGATATGAAGGACGACGAAGGAAGGAGGGAGGAGGGCATGTTGAGGGAGCCATGGAAGGAAGGGAGGTTGGTGTGCCTTCCTCTCCATCTTCCCTCCTCCATTCTCCCTTGGTGGGAGTTGGCGTGGGAGAAGGATTTCGCGAGCGACCATCTCGCACAGAAACCCTAAAGAACAGCGCGCCAGGGAGGCATGCTATACGCGCTAGTGCAAAGCTGGTCTTCAATCGAGGCACAGTTTTTTTGTGGATGTTGGTGATCCCAATATGGCTCCTTGGCCCATAAGGACATGGGAATAAGGCCAGCCATGAGTGAACCACTACCCCTTCCAATCTCCCTCTAGGTCCAAATAGAACAGCTTTTCACATGCACATGGAATGGACTCACGTTACTTTTCCAAAAGTTAATTGAAATAAAAATATATTATTCATAGCAATCTAAAAGATAATCATCTACGTTGCTACTAGAGGGACAAAGCACATCACCCCTCATCCTCTAAACTTTCTACACTATTCCGCAGATAACAATGGCCTTAGAATCTACTATACTCAGCTGCTGCTATAGATCAGTTCCCATGTGTTGCCGATGAAACTTCTATGTAGCCTGTCAGCCCCTCAGTTTCCTCAACATTCGAAGCTGGCTGGTGCTGTGGTACAGTGTACCCCCCCCCCCCCCCCCTCCCTTCAATTCACTTTATTTTCCACTACCAGGGAGGGAGAAGGGACCGATAAGGGGCCAGAATCGAGAATCCCACTGGTTATTTGTCCAGTGTGATGGTTCCCCTGCTCAGCTGGCTGGGCAGCACCGTAGAAAAAAGATGCCCGTGTTGCTTTCAGCGTGGATTTCATTGGTCGGCTGTTGCTCGGGCAGCAATCAGCCGCGTCAAAAACTCCCGCTGCTTGGCATCACTGTGATTATAAAGGGGTGACGGGGAATAATGGGTAAGGGGATCAATGGGAAATAGAGAAGAGAAAAGAGGAATGGAGAAAATGGGAGAACAGGGAATAATTGGTGGGTTGGGATGGGATGATGTTAACATACATGTGAGTAAACTGACTGCTTAGGCTTTTTTAATAACACAAATATATGTGCTAGCTGACTCTTACTGCCACATACCTGAATAGCACTTGTGCATGTTGGTAGGTCTCATTGTACATAAACTCCACTCCCTTCTCTGTCAGACACCTGCAGTGATTAAAAGGGGGGAGGGACAGAGGGGGGCACGGATGGAGAGGGGGACACGGATGGAGAGGGGGAAACGGATGGAGAGGGGGAGATGAGGCAACAGTAAGGCGACAAGGGCATGTGTAGTTACGTCTCATTCTTGAGGCGTCCCAAAAACAGTAAGGCGGACAAGGGCATGTGTTGGTACTTCTCATTGTACATAAATTCAATACTTTCCCCCCAGGCACCTGCAGTCAGGAGGGGAGAAACACAGGAGTGTGGAGCAACGTGAGGAAACAGGTGGAGGGACAAGGGGGCACTTGTGCATGTTTCCCTCTCCTTTTACAAGAAAAGAATGTAGGATTCGTGGCACATAAACTCCACATTCTTTTCTTGCAAAAAAAGAGAGAAACGAGCACATGAGTAAGCTATGGTTAGATTATAAAGAGCATGCGGGACGCACGTCTTGATGTGATTATAACGAGCATGAGGGACTCACGTTTTGATGTGGTTGGACGGCACAATTTGATCCTGGCCGCCCATTAGCACCACTGACTGCTGACGTGGCATCTCCTCAGGCCACAGCATGCATGCATGCCTGAAGGTGGGATGTGGGATAAAGGATGGAATGACGCAGGTGAGAGGCCAACACAGTCACACATGCAGCCTAGGCATGGGATGACGCAGATGAGAGGCCAACACAGTCTCACATGCAGCCTAGGCATGGGATGACGCAGATGAGAGGCCAACACAGTCTCACATGCAGCCTAGGCATGGGATGACGCAGATGAGAGGCCAACACAGTCTCACATGCAGATGGATCTATTTTTGAGGCACCTCATAAGTCACAGATGAGAGAATAGCACAGCCTAGGGATGGGATGACTACAGAACGTTTTCGTGATTCCTTCTTCCTCCCACGTCTCACACCACTCCTGTATCTGCGTGCACCATCCTTACATGTGCCCCGTGTCTGTGCGTTTGTGCAAGAATGAGAAAGCGAAACCATACACAACCCAAACATATCTCAACAGCCAAAGTCAACCAGTCTCACCAGTCAAAGTCAACCAATCTCACCCCAGTCAAAGTCAACCAATCTCACCAGTCAAAGTTGCGGGACAGCGATCGAGCCACCTGCAGCTCCCGAGCGCAGAAGAACCACCGAAGACCATCCATTATATTCTCAGGGGTCCTGCGAGAAACGACAGACCACCAAGGGATAGGCAGGGGGGGAGGAACACGGGAAGAGTGGATAGATAAGAGGATTGTTGCTGCGTGGGAGGGCCACGGGTGCAGCTCCCAAGCGCAGAAGAACCACCGGAGCCCGTCCGTTATACTCTCAGGGGTCCTGGGAGAAACGATAGGCCAAGAGGGAGCACGGGAAGAGGGGAGGGGTGCTGAGGGGCTGTTGCTGCGTGGGAGGGCCACCTGCAGCCCCCGAGCACAGAAGAACCACCGGAGACCGTCCATAATACTCTCGGGGGTCCTGCAAACAATATTCAAGGGGTTCAAATAACAACGGACGGAAGCATATAGATGAATTGGACGGAATGGCCGAGGAAAAATTGGGAGTAAAAAACGAACAGGGTTGCTCGTGTCTTGAGAGCAGACAGCGTTGACCCACCCACACTCACACTCACTTCTAACTCACACCCACACTCACTCAGACAGCGTTGCATCTTTTCAAAAGACTTCAGAGCACACTCTCACTTGTAGATCATGTTTAGCAGCGTCTTGGGGATGCAGCGCAGGAAGCCGACGGGGTAAACACCCGCACTGACAGCAGCACACACTCACTAGTACATCGTAGTTGGATTGGCAATCCGATGCTAATAGGCACTCACTTGTAGATCATGTTGAGAAGAGTCTTGGGGATGCAGAGCAGGAAGCAGACAGGGTCCATCAATCCTAGGGCTGCCACTGTGCCAAAGTGCTTGCGCACATACTGCACAAGAATCAAAGGGGGGAGGGGGGAGAAGGGATAGGGATCGGGTGAGCAAAGGCAGCAGACGGGCCCATGAGGCCTCGAGCTGCCACTGTGCTTGAAGTGCTTGCGCGCATACTGTAAGGGAGGGGTGGTGGGGGGAGAGAGGAGAAGGGAACAGAGGGAAAGGGGCGGGAGGAGGGGGAGCATAAATAAGGCAGGGAAGGGAACAGACGGGGTCCATGAGGCCTAGAGCTGCTGCTGCTGTGCTGAAGTGCTTGCACACATAGTGCACACGTACTGCATAGAAAGAAAAGGGGTGGGGGTGGGGGGGTTGAGGGTGGAGGGGGGACGGAAAGGTGAGGAAAGCTAGTCGCCACGACATGATCTACCCTCATAAGTGCATGCCTCTCCCCACTAAGCAAATCACCTGGGACCGTGTACCTATCCTCATCATTAACACCCGCCAACACCCACTCGTTATAGTCACCTGCGTGCCACTCGTTATAGTCACCTGCGTGCCATTCGTTATAGTCACCTGAGCAAGGACGAAGGTGCCATAGGAGTGGCCCACAAACGTTGCTCTCTTCAGTCCTTGTGCCTGCAGGGCCTCAGCTAACCCTGCCACCTGCAAAAAACAAACGGACAGAGAAGGTTAAGGAAGGAAAGGGGATAGAGAAAGGGGGCAGGGAAGGGAGGGAGGAACAAAGGAGGGAGAAAAGGCACGACGAACGTGGCTCTCTTCAGGGGATGACAGCACAAGCGCACCGAGAGGAAGCTTATATAGGGGATGGCAAACTCACGATGTCGTCAATGGTTGGTGAGGCGGAGGAGAGGCGGAAGGCTAGATGAGGCATCTCCGCTACAATGAATTTCTGTCGAAATAAAAGGGAGACGGGGGATGGAGATAGTGGGAAGGGCGAAAAGGAGGATACTAGTGCATACTTCCTACTTATAAGGTGATAAACACAAGGTACCATACGACCATCTGGGAAAGTGTACAGATACGTCCCGTTAACACAGGACTGCCATACGCATGCACATAGAATAGATATATAATTATATACACATATATTATAAATATAGATCAGTGCTTACCTTGTTAGGGCATGTCCTGTTCATCAAGCCGATAAACCCGTGGTAAGGCGTGAGACCAATGACCAGCCCAAACACAAACATCACCCCTTCTTTGCCATCCTAGCTACAGTACCATACACATTAAACGATATAACACCAACAGTGTATTTACCTTATTGGGGTACGTCCTCTTCATCATGCCGATAAACCCAAGGTAAGGTGTGAGACCAATGCCCAGCCCGTGCACAAACACCACCCCCTCCTCCTCATCCTCGCTGTAATCCACGCTCCCACCAGCCACACTCGAATAAGCAGCGTACGCCATACTCCCACCCTCCCTGCTCCCCCTGCTGCTCCCGCCGCTGCTGCTGCTGCTATCTCTGCTGCTGCTCCTGCCAAAACTGCTGCCGCTGCACCCGAAACCCATATCCCCGCTGCTGCTGCTACTTTCCCTGCTGCAAGTGCCATCCGCGCTAGGAGCTGCCCCGCTTTTAGCGCGGTCAGCATCTGCGCGTGCAGCCGAAAGCGAGTTGATCATAGTAAAAGCGGTTGTAGAGTAAGAGGGGCGGCTGGGCTCTCTGACCCAGTACTTAAAGCCATCCGCTGTGAAGTGCTTGCTGAATCCGAGGTAGCGCATAGCGAGGCTCGTGAAGCAGCCAATGAAGTGGCCCCTGTGTGTGGGGAGGAGGGGGGGGGGGGGGGGGGGGGGGGGGGGGGAGGAAGAGGGAGGGGAGGGAGGGAAGAGGCTCAGGTTGATGGGGGCTGTCTGACCTTGTACTTGAACCCGTCCGCTATGAAGTGCTTGATGGAATCGAGGTAGCGCATAGCGAGGCTAGTGAAGCAGCCTATAAAGTGGCCCCTGTGAGTGGGAGGGGGACGGGGGGGGAAGGGAGGGAGGGAAGAGGAAGAGGTTGAGAGGGGCTGTCTGACCCAGTACTTGAAGCCATCCGCTGTGAAGTGCTTGCTGAATCCGAGGTAGCGCACAGCGAGGCTCGTGAAGCAGCCTATGAAGTGGCCTATGAAGCACCTGGCAACAAACGCACCAGACGTAGAGGATCAAGGGGTGCAGGATGGCGCGGATGGGCTCCCTGCAGTGCGACATGAACTTCACCTCGGGCGTCCGCCGCCTCCTCCCACCCACCCATACTCGCACTCACACACACATACACGCACTCCACGGATCAGACATACCTAACAGTACCTGGCTCCACAAGCACCTGGCAACAAACGTACCAGACGTAGAGGATCAAGGGGTGCAGGATGGCGCGGATGGGCTCCCTGCAGTGCGACATGAACTTGACCTCGGGCTTCCTCGTCCTCCTCGCACCCATCCCCGCACAGCCACCAGCACAACCAGCACCAGCAGCAGCAGCATCCGCAGCAGCATCTGCATCAGCATCTGCACTAGCAGTACCATCGGCTTCCCCCATGGCTGCTCCCGCTCTCTCCTCCTCCTGGCTGCATGGGTAGACAGCAACCTCCCCACTCTCCGACCCTGCATCATCGTCTTCCGCACCTGCTGCCGGACCTGACGCCGGACCTACTGCTGAGGCTGCGGCTGGTTTGGTTGGGTGGACGGCGACGGGTTGATAGGCGGAGAAGGAGGGGCGCGCGGAGGAGGGCGGGGAGGAGGCGGCGGAGGAAGGGGAGCGGGAGGGGGAAGGGGGGAGGACCTCGGGGAAGATGAGGCCGATGGCGCGCTCTGTGCGGACCACGTGGTCTGCGGGAGGGGGAAAGGAGGGTAGGTGGGTGGGGGGAAGGGGGAGATAGCAAGGGGAGAAGGAACCGATGAGTGAGGAGTCTATTTTTGAGGCGCCTAAAAAAAAAAGTGGGGGGGGGGGGAGGGAGGGGAGATATCAAGGGGGGGAGGGAGATAGCAAGGGGGGGAGGGGAGATAGCAAGGGGAGAAGGAACCGATGACACGACAGCAAAACGACAGGACGACAGGATCGCAGGTGAATCAGCATAGTCGGTGTTAGAACGAGCCATGACTGATACTCGGTGCTTGAGGAAAGGACGAGAAAGACGAAAAGGACCGAGGGAAGGAATTGTGGGGGGTAGGCTCATGGGGTCGGCATAGAGGGAAGCAAAGGAACTTCATTTTTTAAAAGCAATAATTGCCTGCTAAAAACGCACCTCGAACGGCTTCCTGATATTCGGGAGACAGCTCGTTGTAGAACCTGACAGACAAAAGGCCAAGGGGAAGGAAGGAGGGAAGGGGAGTGGAGAGTGGTGGGGAGAAGTCAGCTCTACGGCCAAATAAAACAACCACGGCTTCCCTGATATTCGGAACTGAGCTCGTTGTAGAACCTGACAGACAAAAGGCCAAGGGGAAGGAGGGAAGGGGAGTGGAGGGGGGAGGGGGAAGGGAGGGAGGACACATGAGGTTTTAATTCTCATTAGATGGGAGCAGGTTGGTTTGAAATGCGCTGAAATGCGGCGCAATGCGATGAAATGCGACGCAATCCGATGAAATCATCACCTGTGATAGAATCCGAAGGAGATAAATTGTCGCACGTGCTCGCGGGTGAGGTCCTTAACACGCGTGCCGAGGAACCAGCCTCCGACGAACTCCTCGTAATCCACATACTTACTGAAAAATACGACGACGGGAAAAACAGGGGAAGCGGGAGGGCGGAGCATGAGGGGAAGGGGAAGTAACGGGGAAATGTGAGTGGGGGCGTCACGTCTGACAGTAATCACGAAGGAACAGATTAACGAAAAAGCGACCTAGGAAATGGACTGGTGAGCCGACAGCCTGAAGCACGGCTGGAGAGTTGCGAAAGCATAGAAGAATGGTCGAACGATGAGAAAAGCAAAGCGATCAATGAATTCCCAAGGTGGAAAAATCGGGGAATGGGGAGACACGGGTAGGGGGAGGGAAAGGGAGACGGGGGAAAATTGGGAAATGGGGGGAGGATCTGGGGGGAAATTGGGGGGCAGAGGTTGGGATTGGGGGGGATGTGGTGAATGTTTTGTAGGGGGAAGCGGGGGAGTTGGGGGTCGGTGGGGGAAAGGGGGAGATTGGAGGAAACCCTAGGTGGGCGGAAAGGGCACGTACGCCAATGAGAGGACATGATCGAGGAGCCGCGATATGTTCTCGATAGCAGGAAGCGGCGGATCGATATAGTTGTCGCTGTACAGGCGGTACTGCTGGTACCGGAAGTATCTGAACACGGCCTGCAGTACATGGAACAAAAAATGTTACGAGTATAATATATATAACGGGTAACATTTAGGGAAAACGAATGAGGGGATGTTGGCGGGTTGAAACCGAGACGGCGTAAGCTGCAATGATTACTCACCTCGACTATGATCCAGATGGGGAACAGCCCCACGAAGATGAGGAAACACGAAAAGCTCGATGTAAAGAGAATCGCTACGAGAACAAAGAACCTGATACACGGAAGACGGGAGAGAGGAATGAGAAGGCAAGAACCAGCGGCCTTAAAACGGGGACGTGGAGACAGTGGTCTAGAGCGAGTGGAAATGGAAAAAGACGGAGCGACAGATGCGGCCACCATTGAACGACGGGTCAGAGAGAAAAGCGAGAGTGATTGACAGGAGCCGTGGGGAATGGAGGAGACGGGAGAGGAAAAATATGGTGTTCCAAACTAGCCAAACTTGGTGTCCCGTCAAGCGCTCCAAGAATATTCTACCCATCCGCCTCTCGCTCAATGCTGTAACACCGCAACTTCTTCCCCCATAACTGCCTTCATTCTCTCCCGCGCTCCCACAATGGCCCGTTTCCCACCCTCTCCTCTCACCGCGCGCCCCCTCCCCGCACACCCCCTCTTCCGCGCAATTCCCCTCCATCACAGCCCCTTCCCCACCATCACCAACCTGTTTCGGGAAACCCCCCCCCACTCCCCACCCTCCCCCCTACCCCCCTCCCCCATCCCCGGTTTTCTCCCTCCGTCTACTCACCACGCGGAAGCGAACCATTTGTCCGCCAGAATTTCCCGGTACGCTTGGCTAGGCGACCGCTCTAGTCGCGCGCCGCTGGTAACCCGCTCGCTCTTCCTCGCCTCTATCTTGATGGAGTCGCACGGCGACGCCACATCCGCGCATGCGACAGTGGTAGGGAGGCAGAGCTCGGGAATTGGGATGGACGGTATACACGCTGCAGGCGACCAGGGGCTGCTGTTTGGCGGCATCTTGACGCGAGGCACTCAATAACGAGTACAGGCCGTCAAAGCAAAGAAACCGGCCGGCAAATATGACGTTGACCGTCTGAGTGGACGCTGACCGGCAGAAAGAATGAAAGAATGGAACGTTCGAACCGCTGTGGGCTTGTCAACCCGGAGCTTGTCAACCCGGTCAACGCAATACAGGCCCGGTTAACTACGTCTGGAGCAGTCTTGCGACGGTGCGGTCCCACGAAGCGCAGCAGATGCAAAGCGCCTCAAAGGCGGCGGTGAGAGGAACCGTTTGAGGCGTCTCAAAGGCGCACGCGGCGCACGAGCTACACGAATGTGACTCTACGGGATGAGTAAGAAACAGCCACTATGGCGAGACGGCGGTGTTGCAGCGGCAGAGGAACAGCTTGGGCCGTTGGAAAGCGAGGCGTTTCTTTGGCTGCGAGGAATGCGCAATGCGAAGCTACTCAGTGCACCTCAATGGCTGGTGTCACGGACTCCAAGGCCCCTCCAAGGCACTCCAAGGCGTTCCAAGAAGCACTTCTACGGATAGTTATCGTCCCCTCTACGGCTTGTGGTGCGCACGTTGCGATGAAAGCGGATGAGTCTGACTCGTAGCCACCCACGGCTGGCTAGGAGATGAGTGAGAAACCCAACAGACGATGGCAGTGGCGATAGGAGACGGCGAATACAAGGGGTGGGTATGGTGGAGATAGGAGGTGGGGGTGAGGGAGGACTGGGTGAGGGCGCGACGTGCGCCGAGGGAGTAGGTGCGATGAAACGACGCGCTATCTAAAATATGGACGACGACGTGCCGTGGCCGTGGGGTGGGGCAAGGGGCAAGGGGCATTTGATAGGCCAAGAAAGGCCGTGGCTCTTTTCCGACGATAGGCGAACGGGGGCTATTTTGATGTGGCCTGACAAGCAGCAGCTCTAGTGCCGTGAATTATGGAGACCTGTCGAAATTCGTGTGGGTGAGTGAGAGGTGAAAGACGCCCACCTCAGCAGCAGCCGGAAAGCTAGGAACGTGCGGCGAATCAGAGGGTTTTGGCTCGGTTAAAAACGGTTGAGAAGTATGAATGTGCGGGTTTGGTGAACTGTAGTTTGTTCGTCCTAGTTTGTTTGCCCTAGCCTTTTTATTCTCGGCTCGTCAATGCCGAAAACAGCAGAGCGGGCTCGTCACTCAACTGTTTTTTTCGTCGCGTTTCAAAATTCTAGGTTTTCGTGGCGCTGGGTATGATGGCCGTGCGATGTTTTTGTCGCAGAGGATCGATGGACAGGATGTCGAAAACAACAATTCCGCGGACGGCGGGATGGCCGCGAAAGCGCGTGCGAATGGACGACCGAACCACTAGGCGAAGGTTTCGTGATGGTTGGGTTGTACACTCTGGCGTGCTTGACATGGGTTTGCGACCGTGCGACATTGAGTACTTTTCGCAAAAGTAGCGGCGGCGTGGGTGATGTCGCACTCAGGAACACGACAGCCAGCTTGAAGGGCGGCTCCAGGCGCCACAAAGATGTGGCCTGGTCGCTGTTGTGAGCAAGAGTTGCTTCAAAATTTCTCATCGTGCCCGGAGGTATCGGAGGGCATTCACTGCGCTGTAGAAAGCCAGTGCCATACCAACCACCCTGCTTCGGAACAAGGGGCATGGGCAAAAGGCATCATTTTTCTTGAGTTCCTAGGCCTGGAGGCCAACGGGCAGCTCAAACCCAAGCCTTTTCCAGCGCTGCGGAGAAACGCGGAGAAACCGTGGGACGTGGGGGAACGACGCGCTTCGACTTCCCGCGCAGGAGCCCTGCCCACTGAGTCAGACACTACGTGGCGGAGGCACGACCTCACCAGAGGCGCAGCTGCGCCAAGAGCACACTGCCACGTCACCCTAATTAGCTGGGAAGGATGAGCAGCTATTGGATACCCGGCCTACTATCAACCTAGCTTTTCAAGATCACGCGTTGACTTTCATATGTGACCATATCAGCCAAATCACACCGAATCTCGTTTACGGAACATATATGGCAGTGTAGATAATGGCCTTACAAGATAGGTACCCTCTTAGAATGAGAGAATGCATACAAGCTTTTACAAACACGAGGAACTTCGCCCACATAGGCATGCACCCACCCCTGGAAGGGAAATGAGACGATTACATTGGTGTTTATACATATGAATACCAATGTCTATCTTAGCAATACTAGTGTAGTGTCTATCTTTGGTGAGGAGAACTCTACCTTATCGTTATGAATTGTTCTAGGGCACTTGCCTTCAGCTTTCTGCTTCCAAACCGTTTCCCGTTTTATTGAGGTACACACGAATCCGCAAGGTTTTTTCCATACCGCGTATGAAGGGGAAATACACCCCGCATAAAATATCTCCACATGTCTACCTGTGTCTTATTTGGGGCTCGTTTTAGGATTGGCTTTACATCCCTGCAGACCTCTGTGCTTCCCCGCTTCTCCCCGCCTCCCAACTTGCGTCCGTATAATCGTATCCTCGTGGCGCCGTAGTCCCGCTGCAAGTAACCCTGCGTGCGCGTTATCTCGCCAATGGCGAATCCGTTGTTCGCCGGCCAGTGGCCCACCACTCCCGAAGGCGACGAGGTGAGTCGCTCGCACTCACTCGTCTTCCCGATCTCCTCTCATCGCTACGACCGGCCGTCTTAAATCGGTCCTGCTCGGTCCTGATCGGTTCTGTTAGCTCGCCAACTAACATAAGCTCCTTCTCGCTGCTCTTTCCCAATGAGTGAGGACCCCCGGGACCTCACTTACGTGGATATGGCGCGACATGTCGGTCCTGATCGGTCCTGACCGGTTCTGACCCCCGGGGACCTCACTTACGTGGATCTGACGCCACAGGTCGCAGCAATTGCGCCGAATGTTCTTTTTTATCCGTCTCTCGCCGTGGTCATCCCTCTCCCTCTCTCACGAAACTTTAGTAACATTGTCGCCCTTTTTCGCGAGCCAGATTCGCACGATATACGTGACCGGTTTCCCCCAGACGCCAAGGAGCGCGAGGTGCAGAACATGCTGCGCTAGTGGCCGGGCTGCGAGGCCTGCCAGCTCACCTCAACTCCCTCTCCCCCTCTCCCCCTCTCCCCCTCTCCCCCCCCCCCTCTCTCCCCCCTTTCCCACGTTCTTTGTCGAAACATTTGTAACATGTTCGCCCGTTTCGCGAGCCAGATTCGCACCATATTTGTAACCGGGTTTCTGACGGACGCGAAGGAGCGCGAAGGTGCCGAACATGCTGCGCTGGTGGCCGGGCTACGAGGCCTGCCAGCTCACCTCACTCCCCTCCCCCTCTCCCCCTCTCCCACCTCTCCGCCCTCTCCTCCCTCTCTCACTGCCTCTGGCGGAACATTTATAATTTCGCGAGCCAGAATTCGCACGATTTTTGTAACCGGTTCCCCCCAGACGCGAAGGAGCGCGAGGTGCAGAACATGCTGCGCTGGTGGCCGGGCTACGAGGCCCTGCCAGCTGACTTTCAAGGGCGACCAGCCGTTAGGGTTCGCCATCTTCAGCACACCGGCCATGGCGTTCGCTGCTCGAGAACGCCTTGCAGGTGCAAGATGGGAGGCGGGGAGAGGGGAGATATGGTATAGTCTAGGGAAGGTGGAGAGAGGGGGTGGGAGGGAGGGGGGAATAGGGCGGCTTTTGAGTCGACTCAAGTCATCTGATTGGCCGGGGGGAGGGAGGAGGTATGGTCTAGGGAAGGTGGAGAGAGGGGGTGGAAATAGGGTGGGCCGGGCTACGAGGCCTGCCAGCTCACCTTCAAGGGCGATCAGCCGCTGGGATTCGCTATATTCAGCACTCCGGCGATGGCGTTCGCTGCTCGAGATGCGCTGCAGGTGAGTAAGGAGAGGTGGGGAGAAGGGAGGTATGGTCGAGAGGAGGTGGGGAGAGGTGGGGAGAGGAGGCTGCCTGATTACCCTTCGTCTTTTTCTGTATGTGCGCCCTACTCTCTCTCTCCCCCCCAGGGCCTCATATTCGACGTGGACCACAACTCCGTGCTGCGGGCACAGCTGCTTCTGCCGCGCCATGTCATCTCTTTGCTTCTCTGTCTGTCTGTGTGTGTCTATGCGTCCCTCTCTCTCCCCCCAGGGCCTCATATTCGACGTGGACCACAATTCCGTGCTGCGAGCAGAGTTGGCCAAGACCAACCTTCACAGAAGGAAGGGTGAGTGAGTGTTGTTGGAGTGGGAGTGTTGTTGGTTGGAGTGGGAGAGCGCATGTCAGGGGAACAGTAATCGAGTCGACCAAAGAAACGCACAGCTGGCCAATACCAACCTGCACAGAAGGAAGGGTGGGTGGGTGTCACATGCGAGTGTAAGTAAATAAGCTTGATAGAAACAAACGTTTGTAGTCATTCAATGGGTCGGTGGTTTCAGTGTGGCCGTATGGTGCTTTGCTATTCTTTACCAATCGTCACTCTCTCTTCCCCCTTTCCTCTCTTTTTCTCTTACCTCCAACTCGTTCTCTTCCTCCCTTCCCTCTCCTCCCCCTTCCCCACCCCCACTTACCTCCGTCTCCTTTCCCTTCTCCATGCAGGTTTTCCTGGGGGAGGCGATGGCTACGACCACTCCAAGCGCGCATGGGTGGACTGCCACTGCTCCTTCCTCTCTTTCACATGCCATACTCTCTCCCTCGCCTTCCTCTCCTCGGCCCACCTGCAGGTTTTCCTGGGGGAGGCGATGGCTACGACCACTCCAAGCGCGCGCGGGTGGACACCATGGCATCCTTTATGCCCGGCTCTGCTGCCGCTGCTATGGGCAGGTGAGGCCGAGGGGGGGGCCGAGATGGGCTGATGAGGGCGAGAGGGGAGGGGAGGGGGTGGGGAGGATGAGGGATGGGAGGGAGTCAAGAGACCACTCCAAGCGCGCGCGGGTGGACTGGACCCCATGGCGTCCTTTATGCCGGGCTCTGCTGCTGCTGCTATGGGCAGGTGAGGAGAGGAGGGAGGGGGCAGGGAGGATTGGGAAAGGGGAAGGGAAGGGGTGTGAGCAAGTGAGTGAGACTACTCTCCAGGCGTGCGAAGGTGGGTTGCATGGGGCTCTGCTGCTGCTGCTGCCATGGGTAGGTGAGGAGCGGGGTGGGTTAAGGGATGGGGGGAGGATTGGGATGGGGGAATGGAAGGGTGAGAGCAGGTGAGTGAGACCAGTCCAAGCATGCGAGGGTGGACTCTGTAGAATCGTTTCTGCCGGGCTCTGCTGCTGCTATGGGCAGGTGGGAGAGAAGGGAGGGGAGTGGAGTGAGGGAGAAGGGAGGGGCGTGAAAGAAGGGGGGTAGTGAGAGAGAAGGGAATGGAGGGAGCGAGGGCTCTGTGTGTGTATGAGGTGTGGGGGGGGGGGGGGGGGGGGGGGTCACAATGAAATGGTTTTACTACTGCTGGGGTGGCGCATATCTATTCCTTGCAAGGGAAGGGGTTGGGGGGGAGATTTTAATGAGAAGGGGGCAAGTGCTGCCACTGCAGTGGTCCCCCTATTCCCCCTCTCCCCCCTTCCCCCTCTCACCCCTTTCCCCCTTTCCCCCTCCCCTCGGCCCCCCCTCCCCCTTCACTTCACAGCTTCATGCCTGCAGCATACGACGCCTTAGCCTCTTCGTTCGCCTCCCTCCCTGCTGCCGTTGTTGCTCCTTGGCCCCTCTCAACCCCCTCTCAACCCCCTCTCAACCCCTCCCACCCCCCTCTCAACCCCCTCCCACCCCCTCTCAACCCCTCTCAACCCCTCTCAACCCCCTCTCAACCCCCTCTCAACCCCTCCCACCCCCTCTCAACCCCCTCCCACCCCTCTCAACCCCCTCTCAACCCCATCGCACCCCCTCTTTCTTCCCCCCACCCCCAGCTTCGTCCCTGCAGCATGTGACGCCTATGCCTCCTCGTTCGCCTCCCTCCCATCTGCTGCTGTTGATCCGTGCCCCTACGCCTCTCTTTCTGCCTCTTCTCCCTCTCCTCTCTCCCCCACCACCCCTCTCCTCCCCCCCCCCCCAGCTTCATGCCTGCAGCATACGACGCCTATGCCTCCTCGTTCGCCTCCCTCCCTGCAGCCGCCCCTGCTGCTCCCGCGTCTGCTCCCAAGCAGTACTCCACCCACTCCGGACCCCGCCAGGCAAGGTAGGGAACACTTCCTGCACCATACCTCACTGCTCCACACCTCACTGCACCATACCTCACTGCAACACACCTCACTGCAAGGTAGGGCTACAGGCGAGGCAGGCAAGGAAGGGCTACAGGCGAGGCAGGCAAGGTAGGGCTACAGGTGAGGCAGGCAAGGTAGGGCTACAGGCGAGGCAGGCAAGGTAGGGCTACAGGCGAGGCAGGCAAGGTAGGGCTACAGGCGAGGCAGGCACGGTACGGCTACAGGCAAGGCAGGCAAGGTAGGGCTATAGGCGAGGCAGGCAAGGTAGGGCTACAGGCGAGGCAGGCTAGGTAGGGCTACAGGTGAGGCAGGCAAGGTAGGGCTACAGGCGAGGCAGGCAAGGTAGGGCTACAGTCGAGGCAGGCAAGGTAGGGCTACAGGCGAGGCAGGCAAGGTAGGGCTACAGCCTGCAGGCCAGGCAGGCAAGCTATATGAAACATGGAATTTTACCTTTAAATGCACTCCACCCATCCACCTATTTTTCACCGCCACCGGCCCATCGGGATGTGAAGGCTGGTTATGGTACCTGCAGTAGCACATCATAGCACGTCAAAGTACACCACAGCACAGCACACCACCACACCACACTGCACCACACCACAATAGACCCTACCTAACCCCTCCATCAGGTGTGCTGGAACAAACCCCCCTGCAACACTACCTTGGCAACCTGGGCTTGGGAACGAGAGTTTTACCGCTCTATACCGCACCAAACCGCACCTCATCCCATCAAGTGCAGCGGGATAACCCCCCGTGCAACACCCTCTACCTCGGAAACCTGGGCTTGGGAGTGAGGGTCTTACTACAAGGACAATTACACTACCATACTATACCGCACTAAACCCCACCCATCCACATCAGGTGTACCGGGACAACCCTCCCTGCAACACCCTGTATCTCGGCAACCTGGGCTTGGGAGTGAGCGAAGCGGAGCTGATGCAGATATTCAGCGTGTGAGTGCCTTGTATACTTGCATAGTAGCTTGATTCTGGCTTCTAGTTTAGACCACAGGTTTCTGGGTTTAATTTCTCTCGTAGCTTGATCGGTCCCCTATGAAAAAGTGCCGGAACCGATCGGTTCTCTTTGAAAAGGTTCCAAAGAACTGATTGGTTCCCTTAAAAAAAGTGCCAGAGAACCGATCGTTTCCCTTTGAAAAAGTGTCGGAGAACCGATCGATTTCCTTTGAAAAAGTGCAGGAGAACCGATCGGTTTCCTTTCAAAGTGCCGGAGAACCGATCGGTTCCCTTTGAAAGTGCCGGAGCACTGAACGGTTCCCTTTGAGAAAGTGCCGGAGAACTGATCAGTTCCACTTGAAAAAGTGCCGTAGAACTTATCGGTTCCCTTTGAAAAAGTGACGGATAACCCTTGACAAGGGTAATCCCGAGCTTGCTATAGATATTCAAGCGTATCTTTTATTCTTGCAGAGCATGGGCTTAGTGGATTCATTCAAGGTGGTGCAGGAGGAAGAACTCATCTACTACGGGATTTTTCGTCGTCGGTTCCCGCTTGCTCGTGCTTTCAGCATGCTGGTGCAGGTGAAAGCAGCACTTAAAGTGCGTCGGAAAATTTATTACACGATGATGTTCATTCAAGGCGGCGTATGGTTTATTCGTGTAATAAACAACATCTTTCCCATCGTCACGTAGATGAGTTCTTCTCCCTGGGCTGTCTTCACGTAAATGGATTCATGAAAGCCAGGGATCTACAGGGACAGAAGGTATGCTTGAATATCTATAGCGTAGTTGGGCTTACTCTTGACTAGGTTGAGCATTGTCCTTCAGAGTTTTGACTTGGTCGAGTCGAGTCCCGATCAATCAACACTGCCAACCTTGGTGACTGTAACATGGCCTGAGAGTCGACTCATTCAATATTCGCCTCGCAATCATTGTGCCTTGTTTCTTCTCCCTCTGGCCTCTCATCCTCGTAACAGACAGCCTGGCTATGTGCAGCTGAAGCTTCTTCGACAGGGAATGAGCACTTGCTGCTTCGTGCAGTTTGTTGTGAGTGTATTCTCGTAACTTCCCCCTAGATTCTTGGAGGTATTTATGTTCGACTACACGTTTTCCTCTTCTCTAGCCCCTTCTGTACACATTCCCATGTTGTTTCTTTTTTCTTTCGTATGTTCGTCCGCATATTGTTTCCCTCTATAAGGGGGAGGGGTCAGCACCAGAAGTGGAAGTAGCACTCCATTTTTTAGGCGCTCAAGATCCATGCGTGAGGAGTCTATTTTTGAGGCGCCTCAAAAATAGTGAGCACCGGCAGGCCAAGCAGCACTCCAGGGCATCACTCTAGCATCCTCTTCGCTTCTCCTCGCTTGCATACACTCCTCCCCCCTCTCCCCCCCTCTGCCAGGACGTGGAGGCAGCACCAGCACGCCAAGTAGCACTCCAGAGCATTACTCTAGCATCCACCGACCGAGGCTGTGTCCTGCCTCTCCCCTCTGTCCCCTCTCCCACCCCTTCTCCTCCCTTTCTCCTCGCACTCATACTCTCTTCCCTCCCTTCCCCCCTCCCTCTCCTCCCCCTCTGCCAGGACGTGGAGGCAGCGCCAGCGGCGCACGTAGTGTGGCATGGCATCTCTCTATCCTTCATCTCCTCATATACCCC